GCTCATCACCTTTCTCAAGGTAAAATAATCCTCTTTGCACGTTCCCGGCGGCGGTCACTCGCTTACTCACTGTCCTCCGCGGAATTAAACCCAAACCCAACCCGTGACACGAGTTTGAAAACCTGAGTTGAATGAATAAATCCGCCAAGAGCGAGCACCATTCCTTTAGAGAGGAAAAATTATTCCCTTGCAAGAACCAAGGGATGAGTCACTGGCTCGGGTGCTCTGCCTCCGAAAACACGCCGGGAATGTTCCGGGGAGCCGGTACCGGGAGCTGGCCGCTGGGTTTTCCGCCTTTTTCGTGATGAATGCGGGTGATGCCATCGAGTTTGGCTGAGGTCTGGCGAATTATTTCTCACTCTAGTGGGCAGTTGTGATTCGCACGTAGGAAACTTCACGCTAAGAAGTTAATCTCCTTAGTTTAGGGCCATCTCCCTCCGAGTTGGGGCTGGTTTAGCGCCTTTCTGCCTCGCAGATGAGAGTTTTCGAGGGGCAGTTCTTCGCGGGCTGGCAAGGTGGTGTTGCAGCAACCTCTGTCAGAAACGCCGAGTAATACTTTGTCCAGCATCTTGCTGCTCGTCTTTTTTTTTTTTCTTTTTTTTGAAGGGCACTGTGTTTTGAAACAGCGATGTCACGCTTTGATTTAGGAGTAGGCTTCGCTGCTTTTAATTAAGGAGTCAGCAGTTCATTTTCCTAACGTACTTATCTGCGTGTGACTTGGAAGCATCTTCATAAAATTGGGACGTGGAAATTTCCCCCCTCCCCTTCCTTGCCCCGAATAATAAAGCTTTAAGACCTCGTAACTAGTGCTGAATATCGTTTCTTGAGTTGTATTGTTAAAACCAATGATTTAGGGTGGGAGCATCCTAATGCTCCAGGCAGAAAGTGCTCTTAAGATAGCCCTGATGTGACTTTAGTTTTCCTTCTGCCCCATCTCCCCGACAGTGTGTCAGCTGAGATCCAACTGGTTAGTTAAAACTAGTAACAGAAAGTGGATTTAAAAGCCCCTCCTGCTCTCCCTTCCTCTCGGTATCAGTTAAATAACAAACGTAGGGGACTGGATATACCCGCTCTTTCTTTCGGGGGGAGGGAAGTTCAACCAAGTGTGTTTCAGCTGTGACAGGATTTCTAAGGGACAGTTTAATATGTGAGGTGTCGAGTTGGGATTTTTAACAAAATGCTTTTTAGGGGAGGTCGCAGCATCTCGGTTTTAGCCTCGCTGGCGATGGGATACGTGACTGTAAATCGCTCTTTCCAAATAAAGTTGTCTGATTGTGTTTAGGTGGCATTTGGATGGATTGTATCTCTTTTTAAAGGAACAATTGTGATACTGAATAAGCAGTTCTTGTCTGGATCTTCTTAGTCCCCGAAATGCACGTTTTGAAATCCACTTTTACTATCTGCTCAGAAAGCGAAAGTTGTATCTGTTAATGTGAGGAGGAATCATCCATCAAACGGAGTGTTCAAGATATGACTCATGCTAATTTGTTGCTCTCACATTAAGGCTGGAGCGCAAAAATATTTTAGCCTCTGGCATTGGAAGTTCACAATGCCACGTCCTACCACTCCGGGTCACGAATTACAAGTTTTTTTTGTTTACTGCCCCCCCAGGAAAGGAAAAAAAATCAGCAATAGAAAGAGGGTATTTTGCACGAGAGCCTGTCCCAGGCGATCAAAATATCACAAAAATGTTGACTTGGCATTAATGCTAGGTCAAGTAAAACCGTGGTCTGTGTCTGAATAAAAATGACTTGGGAGAGGCATGCAGCAGGTGCTGTCTTCCCTTCTTGAACAGAGAGTTAAAAAAAAAATGCTGCCTGATCCTTTTAAAAAAGGCTTTAGCGCAGGCAGCCCGTGGAAACTGAGGAATACTGCTTGTTGCAAAGAGGGGCTGTTAGACAGCGCTGCTAATGACGCTGGCTATCTGGGAACCAAGATAAGCAGACTTATATAAGCAGCAGCTTCATAGCCTGTAGCCTTATGAATATACATTGTTTTATGTCCACCATCTCTGTCGGTTCCGTAGAAATAAGTGCATCATTACCTTAAAGTGCTGACGATTCTTTGAGGCTTAAAAATATCCATAAACTGCATAAGTTTGAACCTTGTCCAAAGGATTTGGGCGCTCTATTATCCGATCTGCTAGCTCTGCCTTTGAAACTGTATCTCTGGAGCTATCCTTAGGTGCTCTTAAGTGTCTTCTGATGCAGTTTAATGACATTGTTCATTGCTGATTTAAAGTTGGCTGTAAAACACTTCAGAACTTTTTTTTTTTTCAAAATGAAAGTTGTATTTAAGTACAGGACTTGCTTAATGTTGTACTTTCCATCTTTATTGTACGTACTCTGTTCTTTTTGCACGACGTAAGTGTCTCAGTGGCTTTTCAGAAAATAAAACGGTTGAAAATCCGCAATTGTCACTGAAGCCAGGCAAAAGTTTAATAGAGATGCTGGAGCTCGTGCCGTGCCCTGATGTAGCCGTGGAGAGTTCTCCAGGAGAGTTCTGCATCCGACTCTTCAGCGCTTGCTTTGGCAAACCAGCCCCTTAGGCTGTTGTTTGAGGTGGCTGCTGTGGCTGGGCACGGCGTGGTCACGTTTGGCTTACCTGTTGCATCTCTGGTTTTAGCCCAGATGGGACGTAAAATGCAGACAAAAAACGGACAGGCCGGCCTCGCTCCTAACCATTTCCACAAGTTTTTGCCTCCCGCTGTCGTACCGAATCCAGGATTTCTTCTGTGAATCGTTTTCCTGTCAGATAGGCTCGTGGGGTTGGGGAACATGTATTCATACCCACGTGGGTTCTTAGTGTTTGTATCCACCAGTGGCTTTTATCCGAGGATCACCGGCATCGCGCTCCTGGAGAAGGAGTGGCTGGAGTGATGCAGGGCTTGCCGTGGCAGGAAGAGGAGGTGGGAACCCCCTGGTAACCCTGGGTGGCCGTAGTCGCAGCTGCTGTCAGGAGAGGCAAAGTGACTGGAGCTTGGGTGCAACTAAGAAAACGTCCCAAAGCAAGCTTCTAGAAACACCGCCTTCTCCCAGAAGGCACGATGAAACAAATTCGCGCAGGCAGAGCATGAGCTTTGTAACGCTGTCCACCCTCCGCTGACGTAAAAGCGGGCAGGTGGGAGTGAGCCAGCGCGGTGTTTTAGTCGGCTCTCGCAGCCTCGAGTCGCGTTGTTTTGTGAAGGAAACTGTAGGGAAGAAGTCCTGGAAGGCTGCAGTGCTGATCTAATGGGAGTGCAAGTTTCCCCAAACTCGGCTGCAGAGCTGGCACGCTGCGTTAGTACGGGACTGAGGAGACGGAGGCACATCTTGAATACAGATGCGCTTAAACTGGCTTAAGGTGCCGGAGTGATTTATTTTAATGCTCCATTAGGCTGAATTGGTTTGTGTGGTTTCTAAACCACTTTCAAATTGTATCTGCTAGGGGTTTGTCCCAGGCGGACTGGATGAGTTTTAATAACAGCGTTTTCTGCCTTAGAATAAACAGCTCTAGTGCCAGCGTGGTGTGTGGAGCAGCCCGGAGCAGCGCAGGCTGCAGCTCAGCCGAGCCGTGGTCGCCGCGGTGGGGGGGGGCCCGTGCGGCGGCCCGGCGGAGCCGTGCTCGCCGTGGTGGGGGGGTCCCCCTCTGTCTCCTCCCTTTGGCTTCTGTATTTTGAAGTCAGTTGTTATTGGCTGTTCTGAAACAGCTTTCAGGTCTTTATATTTTTTTTCCTTCCCCAAACCCTTTCTCCTGCAGCTGTGTTCTCCAGCATCTCTAGATGTCTGCCAGCCCTTATCGATTAGCTTCTCTTCCTATCACAAAGTAGCTGCTGATGAAGAGAAAAAGAACATGTTGCTATTCTTATTAGTTTCCAGACGCAGAGGGCACAGTGGTCAGTGTATAAATGCATCGGGAACCTGCTAAATGTAGAGCTGTGGCTTCAGGCAGCCCTCGATCCAAATCGCTTTGGTTTCGGTGCTAGCGCGCTGGTATGAACACGTTGTTTAACTAAGATGCCTTATCGCATCCTGGCTCCCCGTGGCTGCAGTTGAATTCTCAACGGTGCACTAAACTCGGCTGAAAGGTGGGGCGTTATTCTGCGGCTCCCGTCGGCGCGTTCGTACGCTCCAAAGGTAGTCCCAAGGTGGCGTCTGATACGATCGTTAGCAAAACGAGTTATCTGTTATGTAAAGATCAAACGCTGTGTCAGGAAAAGATCTGACAAGCACCTAGTTGTTTTCCATAAGAAGTGCTGCCCTCCGGAAACTTAATAATTATTCGATTGTTACGATGCATGCCTTCCTACACCTACCACAGAATCTGCACAGCGAATGCGTTTCAAGCGCGGGCTGTTTATCCTGTCCGAAAACAAAATTATGTAACCTTTTGCAGTTGTTGCTTCAATGGCTTTTGGTCTAGCATGTGCTTTCCTGTCGTTTGTAAATGTTCTCACTGCGTCAGAGCGAGCACCCGTCAATAGAATTTAAGTGTGAATGTTTGGTTTTAGGCACACGAAGCCTCACATCACCAACAGCAGGCAGCACAGAACAGTTTGTTGCCTCTCCTGAGCTCTGCTGTTGAGCCACCTGATCAGAAGCCGATTCTGCCCTTACCAATAACGCAGAAACCTCAACCTGCACCAGAAACATTAAAGGAAGCTATTGTTGGGATTAAAAAGGAAAAACCTAAAACCTCCTTTGTGTGCACTTACTGCAGCAAAGCTTTCAGGGACAGCTACCATTTGAGGCGTCACGAGTCCTGCCACACAGGGATAAAGTTAGTGTCACGGCCAAAGAAAACTCCCACCACAATGGTGCCCCTTATCTCGACCATCGCTGGTGACAACAGCCGAAGTTCCTTGGTTTCGACTATCGCGGGCATCCTGTCCACAGTCACTACGTCTTCCTCTGCCACAAACCCCAGCAGCAGTGCCGGCGCGACGGCCATGGCAGTGACTCAGACAGTGAAGAAGCCCAGCAAGCCCGTTAAGAAGAACCACGCTTGCGAGATGTGCGGGAAGGCCTTCAGGGATGTCTACCACCTCAACCGGCACAAGCTGTCCCACTCAGATGAAAAACCCTTTGAATGTCCCATTTGCAATCAGCGCTTCAAGAGGAAGGATCGCATGACATACCACGTGAGGTCTCACGAAGGTGGCATCACCAAACCATACACCTGTGGTGTTTGTGGAAAAGGCTTCTCGAGGTACCATGTAGAAAATCCCAGGCGAGCTCAAGTGTTGGCTTTTCATAACCAAGAAGGGTTAAGCTATCATAGCGAGGGGCTAGGAGAACCAGACATCTTAGAAGATTGGTGAGGGGATAAAGAGCCTTGTTTACCTCTAGGGTGTGGGTCTCGGTCTGAGCCAGCTTGGCGGCGGCCACAAGCGGTCGCTCTTTTATGAGAGGGTTTGGAAATGATTTTGCGACCTCATCCAGGTCCTGTTGGACACCTGCCTGTGTCCCCGGTGGTGGCCACCGAGCCCCTTTACCCGGTCCGTGACCGAACGGGGCGCAGCAGGCAAACTGCCTCCTTGTCTCGGAGCGAGGTTGGGGCGTACTGACAGAGCATTGTGGGGGAGCTTGCATTGCTGCTGCCTGTATTTGTATCTGTGCTCGCAACAGAGAAAAACTTCAACCTTCAGAGTTGATCTGCCACCTTTACACGAGGTACGGCCACACGTACCTGGTGTCAGGTGTGTGAGAAGAGCGCGGTTAAGTTCTAAACTGCGGGTTGGGTCTCAGCGTAACTCCGCGTTAACTCTAGCTGAAAGCCGCCGCGTAGGTGAGGGGAACGCGTTCGCTGCTGCCGCGCAGAGGGATGGGGGCTGCGAGGGGTCCTCAGCGCAGTGCTCAGCACCGCTGGCCGAAGTGTCATTACTATGTATTTGTAACAGGATGCTTTTCCTCTTCTGTTCCTCTCTCCTTTGCAGGCCTGATCATTTAAGCTGTCACGTTAAACACGTTCACTCAACAGAGAGACCCTTCAAATGCCAAGTAAGGGCTAAAATGATTTGTTAAGAACAATACCTTTTTGTGTTGTTAGAAGCTCGGGTGAATAATCTTTCCAGACTGCTGTATTTGCCCCGGCACTTTTCTTTGAAAAGCAAGTTTAGGTCTAAAGTCATGTCCGCCTTAGATACTGGCAGCACTGTAGTCGTGACGTAAGTGTAGAGGCAGTTTAAAAGGGTGCTGTGGCTACTTCTTTAGGAAGATCAGAGCCGTTTTGCTTTCCTGGAGGGCAACGCAGGTGCTCCGTTTTATGATACACTTCACTTGGTAGAAGGGTTGTAATAGTGTCCTCAGCTCAGTGCTGGTGACTGGAGTAAGGCATCTGAGGTGTTTCTCAGCAGATTCACAGTAACTGTATTTCTCAGTATATCCTCTTAAAATGGATCCGAACAGTTGATTCTGGATCCGCTATTTTGCTGGAAGGTGAAAGCAAGTTGTTTTAAGTTGCTGACTGAGTATAAGAGAAAGAACTCAAGCGCCCTCGAACAATTAACTGTTTTGCTTGGAAGAGCCATGCTTGTTCCAACCTGTGTTTTAGTGACTCATCATATTAAATAAAAGCCTCATGTGAAAAGAGTAGCGTTAGAGAAAGGTTTCGTTTCCTTGTTCTCATTTGGATGGGAACAGATCTAATTGAGCAATTTAAGATATCAAGTTCATGTTTGTACAGAAAAACTGTATCAGAGAGCAACTTTGCCTGCTCTGGGCTTTTTTGTAAGCTACTTCTTGCTTTGGTAGGTAAGGCGACCTGCTGCTTTAAGAAAGTTCAAGTAGCATAGAGGATCATTTTTGTCCTAATAGTCTCAGAAGCCAACTTCCATTTTCAGTGTCTGTTTAGCAGTTTGCTTTTGGTTTCTCTATAAATAGAGGTAGAACTGTGGGTTGTCAGTATGCTTAGGCTCCTGTTTGCACCTGCAAGGTAAAAGAGGCTTAACGGCGGGCGTGTAATTCCTACTGTAACGATGCTGTCTGCGCTTCACGTGTAACTGTTGTCCTTCATACAGACGTGCACTGCTGCCTTTGCCACCAAAGACAGACTGCGGACACACATGGTGCGCCATGAAGGAAAGGTATCGTGTAATATCTGTGGTAAACTTCTGAGTGCAGCATATATCACCAGCCACTTAAAGACACACGGGCAGAGCCAAAGTATCAACTGTAATACCTGTAAACAAGGCATCAATAAAAGTAGGTGAACGTTTTAAAAACATTTCTCATAACAATGTGTTTGCAAAGGGGAATTGCCTTTGAATACATTAACATGCAAAAACGTCCCCCTTAGTCTGGGCGTTCACACCTGGTAGAAGTAGATATTTGATAACAGGATCTTCTTCAGCTCAAGAATTGGCATTTGTGGAGTTGCTTTGCTGCTAGACTGTGCTCTCCTTAGGAGTGCCCTGCAGTTTGTGAGAATAACCCATCTCTTGAAGAAAAGAGTTGCCAAGGTTTCTCATCTAAGTATGATGCTGTACAGGCCTAAAAGTCCCAAGAGAGAATTCTGGAGTTTTTTAAGAGTATTTAAGAACTGCCAAGATGTGCGAAGTGTCAGGTTCAAAGCCTCATCTAAAGCTCATCAAAAATAGGAGAAAGGTTTCTCTGAGCTTTGACCTTGGGGCTCAGTGGTTCCTCCCTCTGGCAGTAGCTGACAAGAAAAGCATTTAAATGCAGCCCTGAGATGTTTTGGGCATTAATGGCATTCGACTAGTGTTGTGCAGGCTTTCAAATGAGATGTTTGTAATAGTTCCTTCTAGTCTTAAACTCTGTGGAAGTACTGAAGCCTGAACCTGGGAGTGCCTAGGAAGCAAACGAAGGCTTGACTTTCAAATCTTCTCTATTAAAATACCCGTAACTTAAGTTAGCCCACGTGCTTAGTGATAGAAAAGGGGTTTTCAGAGAAATTGAGATGGAGAAGTAAGGCATGTCTTTAGAAATTTTGTCCAGAAAGTCTTTTAAACAGTATTCATTTACAACATCTTTTCAGTTCCTGTTACTTCTGGATAATTTGAAGGTACCCGGAATGTCTAAAATGCCTGATTGTTGAGCTTAATGTGAAATTTGGATGTGAAGTGTTTTTCGAGGTATAGAGTTACAGCTCTAGCTCCCAAGCCAGCTTGGTGGTGCTAAGCCAGTTCACATGTTAGAGGGGGAAATGACGAGCTGTAACATGGCCAGAGAGTGGTAACATGCTGTTCTGTGATGGAAAGGTAAACTGAAAATATTAA